GGGAGGGCCCGCAGTTCATCAGCGAGGCGGCGGTGCGGGGGAACGCCGCCATCCTGGACTACTGCAGGACGTCTGTCTCGGCCCTGTCCGGCGCCACGGCCGGGATCCTCGGCCTGACCGGCCTGCACGGCTTCATCTTCTACTTCCTGGCGTCCGTCCTCCTCTCCGTGCTCTTGGTGTTAAAAGCCGGACGGCGGTGGAATAAGTACTTTAAATCCCGAAGGCCGCTCTTCACGGGGGGGCTTATAGGAGGGCTCTTCACGTATGTCCTGTTCTGGACTTTCCTGTACGGCATGGTTCATGTCTACTGAAACAGCCGGGAGCCGCGTTAGCTGCAGTATTTTTTAGTGAAGCGGGAGGACTGTTGCCAAAAGTCATCTGCACACCTAGGCCAGCTTACCTTTTCAGCTGTTCTTCATCGCTTGTGTTGTTAACACCGCCAGTAAATGATGTCCGAGTACAAATGAATCGGTAGTCCTGTTCTAATTAAACTGAATGTGAAACACCGCCTGGATGCCTCCCATGGATATTTGTTTGGTGGGTAAGGAGTAACTTCTGTCCCTAAGGGCAGGTGCAGCCGTGGGGTTTGGGGAGCGTAGCCCCTTCTATCCTTTGCCTTTTGGATAAGACGCAAGTTACAATCCCGTCTAGATTCGCTGCCTGTCCCTGCACACAAATACTGACAGCAGTGCGTAGCACAGCACTCTTAAAAAATAATCCATGGACACAGGGAGATACTGCACAGTAGCGTGTAATTACATGTGAAGGTTTGGTACAGAAATGTAACGGAGCTGCTGGTGCAAGCGTTATTTCCACAATTGCTATATGTGCACACTGTCAGTAAATGACATTGTCAGGGCTGCTCTTCACTGCCAGACACAGAAGTCGCTCAGTAGTGCTCTCATAAGTCAAACACTTTGCTCCTTTTCAGCACCGTTGTGTCCAGTGAAACGCAGACGACCAGGTAAGGGCAGCATCGTGCTACCTGCCAGCTCAGTCTGCGCCGAACACACTTGTAAGCCTGCTGGCATCTTCCCCAACTGAGCAGTGCTTGGTCGTGGTTCCAAATGTCTCTGGCAGGAATGGAAAGGAAAATTTGACCACCCAACGTCCAGGCAATATCATTGCCATAGACCTGCTTGTGCAAACTTCGTCTTACAGTGACTTGCTGAGCACAAGCAGGTGTCACAAAGAGGTGGGGGGGTGCGCAGCCTAAAAACCACACTGTACAGAAGAGTCGTGGAGAGCATTGCCCTAAGGTGACAAATTTTATTGCTGTACATTAAATACAAGAACAAGAAAAAAATCAAACTCAAAGAAACAAGCTCCTGAGAAGGAATCTAGTTGTGTTTTATTAACAGCAGTGGTTGTGGGAATTCTGTTAAACGGAGGGTATAAAGAAGGGAAATACTCTAGGGAAGTTGAGGGTCCTGAAGAGTCACATTCAGGAAATCGCTTTGGTCATCTGACAAGAGGATGGTTTTTTTGTGGAGTTGAAACATGGGTTTCCATAGAGCACAGTCAGCTTTATGCGTGCTGATGAGCTACTTGGTCTCCAGGAGTTGGGCCTTGGCCTGATGGCACGCGTGGGGTTTACCGTGTGTTTCACCATGTAGAAATTACTTAAATAAAATTAATCTCTGACAGCCAAAAGCCTGTGCTGTTGTATTGGCGTGTCAGTTATACCCACGTTAACTCCTGTGCCTGGCTGGGGGAGGGACTGACGGCATGAAGCGAGGAGGCTTTGGCTGTGATCGTAGCATCTGAGGTACACAGCTTATCCTCAATTATTTTAAGTCCACTGCTTAATTCTATTTTCTAGCAAAATGTTTGACTCGGTAATTACTTGCTTCTGAAGAGAAGCAGAGAGAGTGGGCTAGACCGGGTGGGGTTTGCTGTCAGTGACTGGATTTGGAGTTTGCCACTGCTAATAGAGGTGAGTTTTAATTTCGAATCAATGGGTACCTCAGAGTGACCGCCCTGAAGAAGTTCAAGCAGAGGCGAGTGCAGCTTGCTGTGTCCCTTCGTGTGCAAGACTCGATCACAGCAGCTCTCTGCGGCTGTCCTAGCAGTACATAGGGACGCTGCGCCAGGAGTCCTTTAAATCTTGATTATCAAGGAGTGCACAGAAACAATCTTTATTACGATGACTCCTGATCAGTGGTCACCTGACAGCATTTACAGAACACTCTGAGCAGTTTGTACCAAGCCACAGCCTGGAAGCTCTAAAAGAGGCAGGAATATTTATTCACCTGCTGTCTTCAGGAGCTGGCGAGTCGATTCCTGTCAGCTCAAGCAAATGCAAACTTTAAAAGTAAACAATGATATTGCACAAGCACTTTTCTGAGATTAGTTACATCCCCACATGAGCATAAATTCACAAAGTGGGCAGCAGTGAGACTCATTTCTCTACTGAGAAACAAAGAAGCACTCGTAGGTCTTGGAAGTTACCAGAGTGTTGAAATAGCGGACATCTGGCTTCTGAATTTTCCTCCCATTGGTGTATTTGGAAGAACCTGGCAGCCCCCATTTTAGCTGGTAAAGCTCCCCTTCTCAGTCTCCGCAGTAGAGTTACCAGCAGACGCATGAAGTCCCCCCCCATGCAGATCTGTCCCCACCATGAGCAAGTGGCGAGTGATGCGGAAAGGACAATCCTGAGCAAACGAAACCAGCCGCTGAATGAAGGAGCGAGAACCTGAGACCATCTCCATGCAGATACTCCCGGTGTCACGCTGCTTTTCAGTGTGCTAACCCCTTTTTCCTCCACACTGTCAGCCACAAAAAAAATCTGTCCCTGCCTTGCTTCAGAATACTCCTCTGCCTGCTGCTGCCTGAACTGTCCCTTCTCTGGGCCGACTGCGGATGGAGAGGGTGGGTAGCGGGGGAGGTAGCTGGGACCCGGCCACAGCTGAACCGATTCTGCGCTCGGAGCTGCGGCAGGACCTTCTCCCGCTGTTCCCGAGACAAGCAGAGCACCTTGTTCCCGCTGTTGCGAAGGCTTTTCCTGGAGAAGCACCGTTTCTAGCCCTAATGGTTACACACACCCTGCAGTAAGAGCAATTGCCGCCGCTGTGAGACAGGCCCAGCCAGCACCAGCGTTGTCGGATGATAATCCCCTTTCCCCCGAGCTCCGAGAGCTGCTGAAATGCTGCGTTTCTTTGCACTTCCCGACAAGAGCAGTCCCGCTGCTTTGCAGCTGATCCTGCACGTAACACAAGCGAGAGGTGGCAGCGGTGGCCACAAGCCAGTGGGGCAGGAGACAGGTTGAGTCCCAGCCCTCCTCAGAGGGCCGGCGACGTCTCATCACGGCTCCTTCGCACGTGGAAGCAAAGCACGGCCAGAGGATAACGCTGGCTATTGACGTACAGATATATCTATCAATAAATATAAAAACATTCATTTGGTGCCTTCTTTTTCCATTTATAAGATCCTTTTATAAATCCATAGTGATGGCACACTGTTGCGAGCTCAGGATACCAGAGAACGTCTCAGGTAAAGAAGGGTATTCATGAAAAGACTTGGGTTTTTGTCTGGAAATCCCAGTAATAAACCGTAGCTCTGATCTGGGGTAGCTCCACCTCCCAGTCCTGGTGTGGTTTCACACCTGCGCGGTTTTCCTGGGACATGAGTCCGGCTGGCAGCCCCATCGCTGTGCCTAGAGCTCCCCAAGCTGGTCGGGGCTCTGATTGCCATTCGGCGTTGGGCCAGATAACGACTTCCTGGAACTGGACCTGAGGAAACAAGCAGAAGCGACACAAGACAAGCAAGCTGTTTCCGTTTCAGGAGGCAACACGGGCAAGAGGTTCCCAGCCAGGCGTGTCACACCATAAAGGCCATCACCCTCTGTACAGATAAAGCCCTGGTTCTTGGTTTCATGAGGCTCTGGCGCTCTTGGAGCTGCCCCAATTCCATCCGCAGTCATTACGGACTGACAGCGCGAGGCCATTTATAGCCCAACCATGACACAGCAGCTTGCTTTGCTCCCCAGCTAACTGCAGCAAGGAATTACCGAGGGAGGGAGGAACTTGGCTAAACTCATTTGGAGGAATATAATTTCCTGGAATTAGCCTTTGCTTGCCATTAATGTTTTCTGTGTTCCTGTATCTCCTTCTATTTCTATTAGTCATAACAATAAAGCCATTACATTTAAACACAAAAGCCAAGCCCACTTACTTTACTTCCTCATACTTTTTGCCTCGATAAAAGTTACTCTTTTTAATCAGATACAGCAGCACCAGGTCACAAAAGAAAGCTCCCTGCAAAGAGAAAGAACTTGTGGTTTATCTTTAGAGTAGGAGTGGAAGTGTTCTGATCCAATTAGCAATGAGCATTAATTAAAGAAGAATATCTCATAGAAGCTGTATTTTCCTTCATACTCTGTGTAATCTTAGGGGTATTTAGACACAAGGTCCATTAACAAATGCCTTTAGGACAGGAGACAGTTACACACCAGACTGAGTGGCCACAGTAGCAACAACGCCACCGGAGAAGACAAACAAACCACCCCATTTTATCCTCGTAACAGCTAAACGAGGGATCTGGGTCCCAATGTCTTCTGTTAGGAAAATACATTCACTTACCGCTCCCATGAGAGCGAGCCCCGAACCGATATTGATAATGGTGGGAACGATGTTAAATTTCCCTGCCTAAAAGAAAAAAAAGTCATTAAGCACTCGGTGAAAGAACAACCCAGGAAATAAACGTAAGGGTGTGGTGTTACACCGGGGAAGCCACCAGTGCCTGCGGGCGTGTTTTGTCCGCAACAAGCAGACACAACCATAGAAGATGTGCAGTGAAAAATCTTGGGGGTTAAAGGTCTGTGTGTGTCTCAGGTCCAAGTGTCCATGGCTGCATTTCTCAGTTTGCGTCATCCCTGAATTAGGCTTCTTTTTGTGCAGTGCATATGCATGAAAAACAAACCTCTGGGGCGTATTTACTTCTGTCGGACTCTTCGTGAACCTGTTTTCAGGCCGAAGAGATGCAGTCATCCAGGACATCTCCTTTCTTACGCAGGGTTAGCTCCACATGGATGAGTGGCAAGAGCCCTTTCCTGCGACAAGCCGGATAGTCTGTTCTCATCCCAGAGCTGCCTTCCTGCTGAGAAATGTCCCCCACCTCTTTTCAAGGCTCAGGACCTCACCTTGCCATTCACCATCACATCAAAGCGGATTCCATACGCTTTAAAGAGCATCCGGTAGTCGACGCCCTCAGCATCCCGGTAATATTTGGCAAACCTGGAATGCAACAATACTGATTTTAACTCCACAATCTGCCCACACACCAAGAACCCATCTGAATTCACCTGTCTCTTCAAACACATCTATTCCCCCTATCAAAACCAGTTTTAGCATGCCATGTCTGCATCGCCGGCCCTCCTTCCTTCCCTCCCTCAGCTGCAGCAGTGTGCTGGGCTGGGGCAGCTGCCTGGCGTGGTCTGGTACTACGGCACTGCCATCCTCCGCCGCCAGCGAGGCAAACCAGCTCAGCCCGACTGCAGTACTGCATCATATTCTCCTCTCTGCTTACCTGAAGTTGTACCCAGAAGAGATGGACTTTTCTGCAAACTCGTTATCCAGTCGGCTAAAAGAATAGTGAGGATTACATTCAGAAGGGGCTTTATCAAGATCACAGTTCCATTCAATCTGAATTCCTATCACACCACCCTTAATGAAAGAGAGAGACAGTGTGAGTTTTTTAAGCTTGGTTCAATTAACGTGTCTTCAAATTTGTCAGATCTGTGGGCAAGTTTTCCCCAGGGACAAGAACAGCTGCATTTCTGGTCCCAGACACAAGCACACACACTTCTGGATGGGCTAAGTTCATGCTTATGACATTAATCACATTACACACAGTCCTAGCTTTCCCTGTGGTGGCATCCTCGGAGGCGATTCTCATCCCAGGACACTAATTTCATTAAATTCAGTGGCCGTAACACACTTCAGTGCAGAAGATGCTCTTTTACGCAGGGATGGGTTCACACATGCAGAAGCTGGACAGCAGGCAGACCCCCAGCCAGCAGCGGTACAGCCAGCTGGAAGCCACACGAGCCCGAGGGACATTCCTACCTCCAAGGCCATCTCCTGGAAGTCGCTCCCAGCCCACCGGACGATGTTCCCCAGGAGGAAGATGGGGCAGTAGGGATGCTCTGTGCTGTAGTGGCAGCTCTTCAGGTAGGACTCATTGTTAGTTGCCAGCACATTCATCCTGCATGTAGGGAAGAAGGAAAGCCACCTTGTCTCCCTCTTTACTTGCCTACACAGCCTACGCCACCAAGACTGCAGAGACAAGTCTTCTCCAACACCCGCCGTGCAGAACAGAAATGGCACCTTGCCACCAGCCTTGTCACCCTGTGTGCCGCTCCACTGCTGGCCTAGGGAAAGCAGCCTGCTCACACAAAAATGACCTCTAGGTCAGCTGCATCTGGGCTCAGCGAAGCACTGACACGGAGCAGGTTGCCAGGGTGCTCCAGGGCCACGTAGTTTTCCCAAGGAAAAAAAACAGATGCTAGAAATGTCTAGCTGAGCCTAGTCAGAATAGCAAGAACATGCTCTTTTCTACACTTCGGTCTGTCTTTCCTTCCTTAATGCTGGAGCCAGAGCTGCAGCAGCAAATGCAAACAAGTATTTGAAATCTGGATTTTCCCAGCCTTGTCCAGGCACCTTCATTTTTATGGAAGAGAAGGAATATCTGGGAGCAGAAGCAGCTCTGCACTGGCTATACGCTGCCTGGCAGACAGATGCGTCAGCCTTAGGAGCTCTGCTGCACCCCATGCTGCAGGAGCCACCGCAGCCCGCACTTGGTGCGGCACAGCCGGACCCCAGTGGCACTCTGAGAAGCTCCAAGCCCTCATTATCTGCTTGTTCCCGCACAGCCTGAAGCCAAAGGCCTCCCCCCACGTCTCTGAGGAAGGAATATCCATCTCCCCACCCCAAGCCTCAGGCAGGAGAAGGACAGTGGAGAAAACTGAGATTATTGCTCTGTGATGGAGAGGACAGAGAGATCTCTGAGCACCTGCACTTACTTGGAGAACTTAAACTTGGGGAAGCGGATTGAGTTCTTGATGTAAACAGTGAAGTTTTCTGCACTGGCGAGAAGTGGTTTCCTGAAAGAGAAGGGTTTGTTAACTGTTTTAGGTTCAGACCCTGCCTACGTGCTAAAATTTGAATTGTCATTTTACAAACAGCCCGTGGCGCTAGGCCAGCCGTGCTGCTTTCCCCACACTGCCCGCAAGGAGCTGGTGAGGAGCGTGCAGGCCGAGGGGAAGCCATGAGAGCTGGAACCAGCCCTGGGGCAGCCAGCGAGCCAAGCAGGGGAGCAGGGGGCCGGTCGTGCCGGGGGGCCGTGCACAGCTCCCTCCTGCACTGCAACAGCCAACATTCAACGAGTGTCCAAGCAGAGGGAACCCAGAAACCACCCTGAGCGACACACAAGCCAAGCAGCTCAAGCTTGGAAACAGCGCAGGGTGGCCACGTACTTGGGCTTGGATCTTTTCTCCACTGGGCACCAGGCCAGTATCTCACAAGTCCCTCTGATGCCATCCTTGTCTTTCAGACAGCGGCCAGTCTTAACCCCTGCAGCACAGACATCACAGAAAAGGTCACACAGAGCCGCCACCTCCTCTCCTTGCCTACAGGGCACAGGAAAATCAAACGCTTTTCGCTGCCACCCGAAGCCCTCCTCCCTGCTGTGAAAGGGCCTCTCAGCTGGAACAACCGCTCCCTTGTTGCTTCTCTGAGCAGCCCGGGGTGCTCTGACCCAGCCACCACAGAGCTGTAAGCAAGGCAGCAATCTTAAAAGAGAGTAAAGAAAAGAAAGTCCTTGCCGCTCTCCGTGATTGGAGATCTCTAGGGTTGTAACCAGGCTGATGGCTCTGAAGGAACCTGCCTCGACCAGACAAGGTACAGGAGGAGGGAGCCTTCCCTTACCATTGCCAGCCACCACCGCTGCTCCCGCCAGGCAGTCCCTGTCCTGGTAACAGAGCGCGTCGGGAATGCTGTCACTCTGCAAAGTGGAGGAGGACAGAAGTGAGACCTGTGACAGGACATCAGACTCGGAGGGGTAAGAAAGTGCTGATGATGTGGAGTGAATCCTCTATAGAACGGTGAACACTGAAAATGTGCAGCTGAAGCGGTAACTGCGGGTCATGTGCAAAGAGCTTGACAGCATCGCACCACCAGCAACACCACGGTTCAGCTCCGACGTCCTGCTTTTGGCCGCTGCTCAGTCTGGAGAGGGACAGGCTGTGGAAGATCCCAGAAATCACCTACCACTCACCAAAACCAAGCAACAGGCCACCGTGCTCCACCTGCAGAGATAACCCTACCTCTGGTTTAACTACGAGCTCTCTGAGCTCAGAATTCCCCTTCCCCGGGCTGCTCGCCCGGTTCGTGCAGCCACTAGAGGACAGCCGCATGCTGCACAGCCAGGCTCTGCTCCCCGCCTGGGCCCCCCCTCTGCTGCCCCACGGAAAATCCATCACTGTGACAGGGAGACAACGCTCCCTGGATGGCCAGCGTCCTCCTCCCTCAGGCTGAACCACATCTCCGCAGAGGATGTTTCAACAGGACTCGGAAAGATCTCATGCGTCTGGCCTGGAAGGCATGTTCTGGAAGGTACCAAGCACCCTCCCACGTCCCGAAGGTAATGAAAGCCTGAATATTCAGCCCTTCCCAGGACGGGGCTCTTAGAAACTCTCCTCTACCCATAACTAGATCAAGTCACCTCCAAGTTGTTTTCCCACGGCCTTTTCTGACCCTGAGCAATGCTCACTGCTCTGGTCCCATCTCCAGCTGGGCAGATGTCCAACACCATCGACCAAAGTCAGCAAGACTCTACATGATCAGTGCCTCTGGAAATTAAGACAGCTGAACCTCCCAGGTTTGCAGTAACCAGCCCGATTTTCCCAACTGAGATATTACACTACAGAGAAAAACCATTTGCCTTCCATCCTTCCCGTGTTTGTTGCTCCCCAGGTGTCCCCTGTCAGTTCTTACCCCCAGTGTTGTAGGGGTCTGGGGGCCAAGGGGCTCAGTCCTTCCTACCTCAGGACACGTGGCTTGCCTCTGGTTTGGGGTCACAATCAGATTCGTCATGACAAAGAAGACGTTTTCACCCTACAACAAAGTAAGGCACGAAGAGTTAGAAAACCTGTTTTACTCTTGAAGTACCTGTTACAAGGAGGATGCAGTGCTCTGCCAAACAGTAACACCTCCCTCTCTCCTGGTGCTTTCCAGGCTGAGACACAACAGCGGCCTTTGTCTGGATATTTGTTGGGATGAGGCTGGTGGGTCTCTGCCGCTGAAGACGTTCTCCTTCAGAGACTGCGTTAATTTGGTGAGCAGGACTGCTGAGCTTTGCCTTGCTGGCTGCTCGGCACGCGCTTGTCCTCCTTTTCCGTAAGGACATGGTGCCTCATCAGGGATCAAAGGCCCCGTCCCAGTGCAGAGCCGTGGGTGTTTGTTCTTAGCCGGGGTCAGCCAGCCTGCCTCAGCCGTGCTGTCACAAGCCTGAGCTCACGGAGCAAGGCAGCCGGGCACAGCGCAGGACCAGATGTAGTGCAACACATGGACATGTGATAAAACAAAACAGAGCACTTCTAGCACGGCTGTAAGAGAGAGAATACAGAACACTTAACTGAGCCATCGGGAGGACGGTATGAGATGTGCAAGGAGAGACTTGTCTGCGGTTTCATCCCTAAAATCCTTATTTCTGGCCGTGTAGTGTTTCCTCTGTATTTAGGCAATGCCACAATATGCATGGCTGACTCCTGTTCTGGAGCCTTCCTTTCTTTGCACTTTTACAGCCTCTAGTTGGCCCCTTCCCCACACTCAGCAAAAAGTTTAAATGGTGAACTTCTCCCCTGAATGGTTTTCCCGTAACAACCAACCACCAAAGGAAACTACGGAAAAAACAAGCCTGAAGACAGTTAAACAGTCAGCAAGAGGGGGGAGAAAGCAGCGTATCCCAGCGCTGCAGATGGAGGCTGGTGTGCCACTCCGAAGTGAAACGAATGCCAAGATTAACCACGTGCTCCTACCATTCCTGC